GACATGTTGGCTCGCACACAGTGGGAATGCTCGTGAATTGTCGACCAGCTAGAGTCATGTGTTTGGCCCATCCGCGGCGAGATAGCTCAATTAGGCAATTTGCAGTAACGATGTCTCTGGCCCGCCTGCAGCGGGAAGGCACAAATAGCCAATCAGGAATGACGATGTCTTTGACCAGCTTCCAGCGGAAAGGCTCGTTAAAGCAAACAGCAGTGATAAAGCCTCTGGCCCGCGCGCAGCGGGAAGGCTCGAAAAGCCATTCAGGAATAACGATGTCTTCGACCAACTTCCTGCGGAAAGGCTCGTTAGAGCAAACAACAGTTATAAGGTCTCTGGCCCGCGCGCAGCGGGAAGGCTCGAAAAGCCAATCAGGAATAATGATGTCTTTGACCAACTTCCTGCGCAAAGGTTCGTTAGAGCAAACAACAGTAATAAAGCCTCTGGTCCGCGCGCAGCGGGAAGGCTCGAAAAACCAATCAGGTATAACGATGTCTTCGACCAACTTCCAGCGGAAAGGCTCGTTAAAGCAAACAGCAGTGATAAAGCCTCTGGCTCGCACACAGCGGGAATGCTCGTGTAGCCAATCAGATGTTCTCCTTTCCACTGCGCTCCTCCGCTCTCTCGCTCATGGCTTCTCCTCACCTTCAGTCACACCTTCCCGTACTCACTTCCTCTCGCACTGCACTCTCTCCTCCCCCGCACAGTCTCTCTCTCCCTTTGCTCAGCCTCACTCTCTCTCCCGGTGTCTGACCAGTCTAACTAAGGTAGTAGCTGGGAACGCCTTGCACACACCGTCTGTCTCCCCCTGCCATTACTCACGCGCAGTGACCGCCCGAACACGGATGCCTCAGTCTTGCTTGCAAACGCGTCTCTCCCGTCCTTTCGCCGCGGGGACACCTTGCACTCCTCCCTCTGCCGCCAGCACTGCGCCGACCGTGCACGCTTCTCTCTGTTGCATGCGCTGCGCCCACCATGCAAGCTTCCCCTGCATTGACTCCGCTTGCATCCGTACTGTGCCGCGGGCTGGGTACACCTTGCATACTGTCCCTACTCTCTAGTCCCCTTTCCCTTTATGGTTTTCCCGCACAGTTGAACGTGGTCTTTCCTCCTCCCAGGTCCAATCCGTAGGCCTTCGTAGGCTGAAGGTAAAAGCAGGGCCAGGCCCAGCACTGGTGCAGTGGAACCCATATACAGTCTCAGCGGGACCTGCAACTGAAACCTGTTGTAAAAAGAAAGCCAGATTCTTCCGTATGGCAGGTACCCGTACCAAACTTGTCACTTTTACGCTCCAAAGCCAACCACGATACTGAAAAGCAATTGTATTGTACCAGTTACCAACACAAAAGCCGAACTGCAGTCCAGATGTTGCTCCCAACACCCAGTTACCATGCTTGTTCCATATCTGTCCCGGATCAGAGTGTCGGGCCGAACCAGAAATAGCCACTTGACAATTCTGAGCTGCCAACACCGAACCTGAAAGTGATGTAGTGATGTGTATCATACCGATGCCGGATACCGTAGAAAACTGAAAAGCCAGGGTAGTATCGATTTAGATACCAAAAATGACAAAAATTTGAGGCGCTATTTTGACCCCGATCATATGCTGCAAAGAACGTCGCAGCGGGGTTAGTCCCCGCGATGCCCCCTCGCGGCAGGCCAATTCGGGTCTAACCCTCTGAACGGCCGGAAATGACGGTCCGTTGATGTGCCGAGTGYGACCACCCATCTTGCCATTTTTTAGGGTTACCCGTAAGGTYCAGCGCGCCCAAAATCAAGGGCGCCCTGAGGTCCCCTAATCTCCGCTGCCTGGTCTAACCAGAGTACCGTCAAAACTCAGACTCGTCTTCGCGCCTAAGTCCCAAAACCGTAGATTTCAGGCGGCGCACTGCTTGTGGCCGCCTGACAACGGTACAGTACATGGTTTTACTATCTAGAGGTAGCGGAAGCCCTAACTACGATTACCACACTCAGAACCTGACCACATCTATCAAGCACAATTCCAATCTCACACAACACTTCTACTATCTAAAGGCAATGCAAACCCTATCTACAATTATCAAACGCAAACCCTGGTCACAGTTATCAAACAAAATTCGAGAAATACAAGAGCCTCACAACAACACGCAACCCGGTAGGATGGTATTTACGACACGCTATAGGCATGAGTTCTAGTGTAGGGCTATAGTGTGAGCAATGGTGAGGGCTCCTCCCCTAAGTAGAGTCAAGTCTGGTTGATTGGCGAGGCCCCTCCTCTTGCCTTCCTCTCCTCCCGATAGGTCGGGGTCCCTGAAGCCAGGCTTTGGGGTCCGCTGTGAATGAGGGGTGTGTGAACCGCTTATTCTCGGGAAGGTGCTTGTTGAGCAGTGCAAGGAGCGAGGCCGATTGACCAGTGTGCACTGGCTGTTCCAGCACATCCCCTGCATCCTTAATCAGGGGCATGAGGTCGCACCATGTGAACGCCAGGTCCTGTCGGGGGAGAATCTCCCTCGTGGTTGGTTCCGCCCGGAGCAGGAAGCAGTAAGCTCCAATGCTTTCTGCCTTCGAGCCTTTAAGAAGCAATCTGATCATTGAGGTCCCTTTGATGGGGCGAATCCTGTATGCAGGCCCTATCCATCGGTAAGTTACTGCTACCGCCCTTTGCATGAACGGGTGTTCTATCACTTTGACAAATGGAATCGATGGTTCTACTGCCATCCATGGTCAGTGATAAAGCATAGCCTGTATTTTGTTCTAAAAAAGGCGGCAGGCAATAGGGACGACCCGGATTCGTCCTCATGCACGGAGCTCCTCAATCTTGCCGTCAAGAAAGAGCATACGTGTTATTTGTTCCCGATTGTACACTCACGTCTCGTCATCAGGGGCCCTTGTAGACGATTGACCTAATACTCCCGGGTGGGTAGCGAGGTTTTTGAGCTCTCTCCTTGACGGATCACTGGGTAAGTGGGTGGGCCCGCTACACCATCAGTAGGGCTGACCCCGGCGTGGAAAGCCCTCTGACGGACATCCTCCCTGGGTCATAATCCCCGACACCTCTACAACCCTTTTAAGAAAAGAAAAAAAAAAGAAAAAAAAGAAAAAAAACAAACAAACAAACTGTGAGAGCGAGAATTGTGAGAGCAGTGGCGAGCGGAGAGGGGGAGAGTGGGGAGTATACGCGGAGGGGTGAGGGAGAGGATAGCGGTAGAGTATTAGAGTAGGGTTATGGCGAGAACACGTTGGGCTTAACCGACTCCCGCCGCCGACGACGCTGTCCATATGGAGCGGAGCGGTGACGTGATAGCATGGGCGGAGTGTACACGTGGCTAGGGGCGTGGACCTGCAACACGGGGAGGGGAGGGAGTGGTGCCAATTAGGGCAAGGAAGAAAGGAGTGCAGCGCCCTCGATGACCAGGGCGCGCGAGAGATACCCATGATAGGAGGAGTGTACTACTCAAAGCGGGCAGGGAGAAAGAAGTATGGAAGCCGATAGGGGAGTGGAACCGTAGGGAATACTAGGGGTGACGCGCTGAAGATGGCGATGGGAGTGTAAAATAGAGCAAGGATGGAAAAGCGCCAGTAGAAAGACGGGACACGATAGACGAACGGCGCTCCGGAAAACGAGGCGCGAGGGGACGGTAGCAGGAAGAGAGTGAGCGAGTGGGCTCGGTGAAACCGCTCAGGGTGGAGAGGGTGGCAGTGAGAGGAAAAGCCTAGGTGAGGGGAGAACTCGGACGCAGCGCCTGGGGCTGATCGCGCAATAAGGCTGGTCAACGCTGACATGGGATGAGGAATCTCCAGAGGGCCAGCTCGAGGGGAACGCGACCAATCAAGCGTGCATAACAGTGGTCGAGACAGACTGATAGGTGGTATGGGATCGGAAGGTCCGACAAACAAGGGATGATACAAGCGCCAGCGAAATGATGGAATCGCTGTCGGGCGAAGGAGAGGGACGGTTAACGCTTGAAAGACTGCGGAAGTATCCAAATGGAGCGACAAGACCCAGTGAGGCGAGGGGGCAGCGCTGGACAAAGAAAACGGAGGAGGGACGACACTCGGCGGATAACAAAGCGCTAGTGCGCCTACAAAACGGCATGAAGGGTAGGCGGGGGTAGACGCGGAGCAATCAGATAGGTGAATGCACGATTGAGAGCGAGGTACTTGCGGGCGAAGGAGAGAGACGGTCAAAGCTCTAGAAGACTGCGGAAGTGACCAAGCGGAGAAGACAAGACCCGGGGAGGCAAGGGGGGAGCGTTGGATAAAGAAAACGGAGGAGGGACGACACGCGGCGGACAACAAAGTGCTAGTGGGCCTCCAGAATGGCACGGAGGATAGGTGGGGGAGATACGGAGCCACCTGACAGGGAATGGATGATTGGGAGCGCTTATGGGGGATTGGTCTGCTGCTGTTAGGATGGACCCTCGCTAAGCAAGCGGAGGGCATACGACAAATAGGGTTGGCCCTGTGGGGCACTGTATCGCTAGTTTGGAGGGCGACGATTGTGGAAATTGGGTGTGCGGCGATTTGAGGGTGCACATGGGCACTGGCCTACGTCACATGCCGATGCTTGCTCTTTGGAGGCGAGAAGCTAGCAACCTGGTGGACGACACTTAGCACTGCCGCCTGGATTGATCGGCTAGCGACACTTATCGTCGCCATTGAGATAGGGCGGCGGGGCGACCTGCATAGTATAGCCACATCGGCTCTGGCTCGGTGGATGTCTCACAGGGAACGCCGGCGAGTGCAAGCGAAAATTAGGAGGATAGAGAATCGCATTCGGGATGATGAAAATTGGCTATTAGCATTCACTCCGTCGGGAAGCCACCCGGCCCACCGAGGGCGCCAGGACGAAGACAACTTTAGCGCGGAAGGCAGCACGACTGACGAAGTGATCACGACAGTGAGGCGCAACCTGTCCATCAACAGGAAAGCCCATCAGGAGCTCCGAGCAGCATTCCGACGCCAACGGACGGGCCGGGGACTCCATCGACTCTCGACACTGACCATTCGGCCTCGGCAACAAGTACTACAACAATCACGGCAGCGAGCCTCAGGATCTGCACGGAGCCAAGGAGTGCAACAAGGAATGCAGCAAGGGCAGGGGCACCAAGAAGGGCAGCAACACCCATTGCAGCAGGCGGAACAGGATCGAGACGTCGAGCAGCCGGGGCGGCCACGGTCCCCCCCCCAGGAGACGGAGCAGGGGGAATCGAGACAACCCCTACGACCCCGCAACCCGCAGGGTCAACGGTGGGGTCTCTCCTCAAGTGATAACGACACAACGGACGGCGAAGACTCCAGGAGCAGTGGGACTGAGCAGAGGGGAGTATGATGGAGGTGCAGGGGCAAGGTGCGGAGGGATTGGAGGTAAACCACCTTCAAGCGGGTCCGTCACAAGGACGCCGCACGGATTGGAAGATAATGAAAGCGGTCAGGAAAGCGGCCCTGACTCTCTGAAGGATCCCGCAGTGAGCATTAAGAGTGTGGATGGCGAACTCACTCTCCAGGTTGAGGAGAAAATGGCGATTGCGCAAATGACGTATATGCGCGCGCATATAATAGTGATGCTCTTCGAGGGACCTCTGAAGGATCTGGCGCCTCGGGCCAAGCTCGATTGGATACGTTGCTGGGAACTGGAGAATTGGCCCGAGAAAGGCCAGGCTTCGTACAAAGGCCGGGCGATAGTGGAGGGTGGGGCTCTGGTCTTCTACTGGGCCCCCACGGCTGCGCTGCGAAACTGGCTGCTCCATGACCGGGGGATCGAGGGGATTCGACTAGGCGATCATACGTACTTCGTTCGATTTACATCATGGAAATCGCCAGTAGAGGTGAAGTGGGAGAGGCTGCAAGAGCGGAAGGCGAAACCATGGGTACGGTTTGTTCAGCCCCCTCCCATGGCGGTGCTCATGCTCCGACAGTTAGCTGAATCATTCTTTGGGGCAGTCAGAAACCCCGAGGGCACCTGGGCGGTAGATGGGGATGGTAGGGAGACAATCAAATTCGACCTCTACCCCCCTCTGCGCTCGCAGGGATTGGAGCGGTTGGCGGTGGCGCAAGCGTACTACGGCCGGCCAGAGGTTAGGGGTGTTACAAGTGAGACCCCATGGTGCGACAACTGCCGAAGGCACGTGCATCTCGCACGTAGGGGTCGTTGCTTAACTATGGCGGAGACCAAGGAGGAACTGGCCCGTAGGGAGCAGCTGCTGCGAGCTGACCCAGGCCTTCCAAGTGACGACACTACGGAAACTGTTTGTTGGGAGAACTTCGAAATGGAGTTCGACAATGTGATCTATACCGAGATCGCCACCGAGTCCAGCCTGGGCGACGTGATGGAGGTGGGTGACCGCTGACTTCTTCAACCATCTCTCCCACGGCACTCTCAAAACATTGATGGAGCCAGGGGAGCCCGGTCACGCCAAGCAGCCCTTCCGGATCAGGGATCCAACAAAGCGCCTGCGAAGAAATCACAAGCCAGGAGGAAGTGCATCGACGAGGAGGGCAGGAGCGGCAGAAACTCCCGCAGGCAACCTCAAACCGACATCACAATGGCCGTCAGAAGTCCGGCATGCAGCCACGAACCGGGGATCACATTCAACGGGCCGAACGCATGCAGCAAGAGCGCCAACAACAGCGCCAACAACAGCAGCAACCACCATACCACGTACCGCCAACACTGCACCAACAAACACCGGATGCCGCACAGCCTCAGCCGCAGGGGGGTGGCCCGCAGCCCCAGGCGCCGGCGGGACCCTGGCCCCTGAACCATCAAGCCTGTATAACACCCCGAGACGTTATCGTCTTGTCGGGGGATACTCACTCTGAACAGGCTGTGGTAAAAGAAGATGGGGAACAACGAGAAGACAACAGGCATCCGGTGGCAATGGAATGCTGCAAAGACATGGATGAGCAGACCAACGATCAACGCCTCCGGAGACAGAAGCAGGATACATCGGCAAAAGTCAAAGACCAGGTGGATAAGGATGGACGCGGGGAGAATCCGCAACCTTACGAGCCGCTCCGTCAGCACCGGAAGGAGGGCGATGGAGACCGGGAGGTGACACCTGGAGCATTAGCTGAAAACAGCGAGGGTGATGGGGACAAGGGCTCGAAGGGCTCGAAGCAGACTGACCAGGTGCCTCCTCTCCAGGGTCGAAAGACCCAACACCAACGGTCGGAACAGCAGCGTGAGGAGGCAGGTGCTATGGGGGGTGGAGCGGCGGGGGAGGAAAAGAAGGACACAAACGGAGATCGGAAAGAGAAGCTCGAGGTAGGGGAGGAAGGAAACACGACTACAACTCCTGGGCTGGAAGAAGGGCAAGCTAAAGGTGGGGAGCGGGCCGAGCAGGAACCACTCCGCTGCGATCAGAACGCTCAGCACCAACGGAGGCAGCAGCGACGTCGCGACGTGAGCAGATTGGGGTGCGGCAAGCAGGTGGCGGCCCCGCCCCCCAAGCCGAAAGGAAGGCCAAAGAGTACTCGGGGACGCTTAGCCGCGGGTGACACCTGCTCGCTTATGCGACCCCATAGCCAGAAGGCCAAGCGGAAGCCCAAGGCCAGGGTGCTTTGTTATGGGTCGGCCTCGAGGGGCCGGTATACCAGCCAGAAGGACAAAACAGGACGCCATCAGCAGAAGACCACTCCTCAAGCGGTCGCCATGCCAGACCCTATACGGGGAGCCGAATTTGAACTCCTCAAAGGCATCAACGACCTCAAGATCGTGCCCCCCCAGCCACAGGAAGGAATTCGAGGCCAAGAGGAATGGCCATCGCAGAGCAGTCGGGGCATGAACTCTAAGCGCGGCCGCCAGCGCAGGCAGGGCAGGGGTCGGACTAGCAGGGAGGCATCGCCTGTTGACTTACCGGATGAATCTGAACAGGACAAAAGGAGGAAGACCTCTGAGCCGATGATAGGTAAACTGATGCAGAACCTGGAGGGCAAGGATTGGCAGCACTTCGTGGAGATTACGAGCTCTGCCTCCCAAACCCTGGGGCCTGCCCTTCCTCTTCCCCCTCCTCAAGGCCCTTCTGTCTTTCAACCCCTCCCCTCCCCCCCCCCGAGTCAGTTGCGGCCTGACAACTCTAACAACCCACAAAGCCGTCAACCCCCTGACCCATTGCCTTCGTCCTCCCCGGATGACGAAAGCATGGAAGAGCAAAGCTTGGGGTAGTCGTTGAGAGGACTCCCGGAAGAGGAGCCGCAGGCGCACGATCGCATGCAACTCGCACGCATACTTCTCCTTGATGGGAGGTTTGATGAACTCCGATCGCAGGGCCGGATTCGCATAGTCCCTATTGTCTGCCGTCTGTATGAGGACAAGGTGCAGGCTATGCTATACAGCCAGCCTGAGACGTCGCAAGAACCGGCTATCCCATTCGTCAAGGTGGCTGAACATCACCCCTCTATGCAGCGAGCTGTAGCCGTGACGGAACGATCGGCGGGACCCGCGTATAGAATCTCGCCCATCAAGGGGATATCAGCGATTAGATTGTTGTTGAAAGGCTCCGCTACACAGACCATAGGGGCATACTGCTTCATGCTCCGTGCAGAACCAACCATGCGCAATCTCTTCCCTCCGCAGGACCTGGCCTTCACATGGTGCGACCTCCTCCCTCTGATCAGGGAGGCTGGGGGTGTCATAGAACAATCCGTGCAGCTTGGCCAATCGACCTCCTTCCTGGCCCTCCTCAATAAGAGGCTCCCCGAGAACAAGCGCTTCACACACCCATCCTTCACTGATGATCCGCAGCTATGGCTGCGGGGGCCGCGGCCTGTAGGTCGAAAGACGAGGCCGGATGCTGCCCCTCATACTTGACTCCATCCAGCCGTGGACAGCAGGGTCGTCTAATGGTAGTAAGGGATTCAGGTCTTAGATAGGACTAGTGTCCATCGTGTAATATACCGTTTGATTGTACATGATGATAACAAGTGTGGAATACTGACAACCCTGTCCAAACTGCAATAGGACAACCCGTGATGATGATTTGCGACAGGGAATCATGCATGCTTTCATAGGTATTCGGTGATTACAGCTTAGGACTGTGTGCAACAACACTAGTATGTGCATGCTTTCATAGGTATTTGCTGATTAGAGCTTCCTCTGACGGCCGATTAGAGCTTAGAATTGGGTGCACCGGTCGATGCTAGCACAGATAACTACGGCAAGGACCCCGCCAATTGGAACAATGACTGCCGTGAGGAATTGACCTGAGTGCCGAGTCAACGCCCTGAACAATAATTAGGGCCTGGGACGGCTGTAGCTGGGTGATGACGTGGATTAATCGTTGCCCTGTGGAATTAAGCGGGCTTTTTGGAATCCGGAACTAGTTTGGCTGTGGTAATTTGACACCCGAGCCTAACTATACTAGCTACAGCT